AAAGTGATTCACTTAGAAATTTTAATTGCAAAAAAAAAAAAAAAAAGAAGGTAGTTCATGGTCCTGTTTTTCAGATCACTCCGAGAAATGAGACCTATTCCTCAACTTGTTCACTTCACAAAATTGTATTAATTTTCAATTCTTCATCCGTTTAGTTTAAGCATTAGGATCCCAATCCCAACCACTGAATTTGGCTTCACATATTGCATAATGGTCAAGTATGAGATTTTTTAAATTTTTGAAAAATTCAGAAAAGTTTGCTTCCATTCCTTCCAAAATTGTTATCCTCTATCCCAGATGGCTTTGTATAAACTTTTTGGTTTTGTTGGGGCTGTATTTCTAGTTTCAAAAACAAAATTTTCAAGTAAAAAAGCAACAAGACTAACAACACAAAAATGAGTTGGGATTTAGAATAGGACAAGGGCAGCGCAAACACATGCCTCCACTATCACAAATTATGATGTAAGCTTGGGAAACTTGGGTAGTCCTTACGCTAGCACCCCTACAAAGTGCAATCGAGGTTACTAATGTAGGCCAAAGGCTTTCTTCATCACCCATTGACCCGTCTGGGTAAGTATGTTGAAACAAAGCTCATTGCTCCTCTTATGAGCACCTATTCTTGCTTCCCATCTTTTGTTCGCTTTCAATGTGGTAAATTAACACAAAAGGACTCCCTATATACACATGACCTAGAAATATTAAATAACACCACCCCTACTGTGTGCTTATTGTATATATGTATTTGGAGATGTATATGTCATTAATGGAAGTACAGAAGGCATTGGTTATTGTAGGCATAACATAACACAAGTGCTGAGCAATAACATGGGAGTCGCATAGGAGGTGAAATGTTAAGGTGAATTATTTCAGTAATATATAACAACTTTGTAAATATCATATATTTATATATGTAACACGCTTTATATTTAGAAAAAAACCATATCACATGAGATAGGAGTCACATGAAAAGGTGAAAATTTTGATATGAGGGTTGTGCAAACAAAATGTAACAATTTCCATTTTATGTTTCTTGCAAGAATGACTGCTCAAAATTATTTTTTCCCTCCCCTGAAATAACAGAGCACATACTTAAAAATGATTAGAGATGAATTTATCTATTTATTTTATGCTTATTTTAAATGGCCATTTGGCTAGCCTTACCTAATAATTTTATTGTGAATAGGATAATTACAAACTTTGCCTCACCAAAGACCAACACATCTTATGTGCGAAAAGCATTTCTCATTTACTAAAACAAAATGTGATTTGTTTATGTGGTTATAGTTGTCCGATAAAGTTGATTTTTTTTTTATTATTTTATTTTATGAATAACCTTTATTGTGAGACCTATTAGATAGAAAGTTTAGATCATCTGTGTGGGCTTAGATTAAGAGTCACAAGAAGGGTATGGAGAGGAGTGGAATGATAAGTTACAGGGAAGAGCTTATTCCTTTTATAATCATCTCATCTAGATATATCCAACAAGGTCTAAGTTATCTAAGAAATTAAAAAAATAAAATAAAACAAAATAAACGGTCTCAGAACATCCTTTTTTCTAGTTCAAAAAAAGAAAAAAGAAAAAAGAAAAAAGTAAAGTAAATACAATTTCAAAATATTAATGTTAACTTAATGAAATTCAACCACCACTATCATTAACTACCACAATCATCACTATTTTTTTTTCATGTCAATTTTTTAATGTTTTAAATATAAAAATTAAATAGTTTTCAAACTTCAATTTCATCAATTAGATTAAAATAAAAATTCTATACAGTGTGTTAGAGTTTAAAATGTCACTATTCAAATATAAAAATGTTTTCAATAACCTCGAACACAATATAGCCCCCACAACCATTACTAACCATCACAATAATCAAAGCACTTTTAATTTTTAATTTTGTTATGATTTTAAATACAAAAAGCAAATAAACAACACCCAAAATTGACAACAAAAAAAAAAAAAGAAAAGAAAAAATCGATGCGTTCCAAAAATCATAAAATTAATTATGAAGCATATGAAGCAGATTGAAAAAAAAATTCAAAATCTATTGGTTATATAAAAATAAAAATGTCTCTATATAATGAAATTTCACTGTTCAAATATAGAGAGTGCTTTCACTAACTTTCAACACAATGACACCAATCAGTACGATAATTATTATCATTGATCACAATAATCATCACAATACTTTGGATTTTTTTCCTTGGGCTTTAAATAGGCTTGAGCCGCTTTTATTGTACCAAATAATTTGACACAAACTCTTAAATTAAAAAAAAGTTATAAGTACAAATAGACTACGCCAAATAAGATAGTAGTGGTAGTAGTGTTGGCAGTGACCAATTTGCGGTGGTGTGGATACTTTGGGTGATTTGAAAAAGGGAATAAGGAAGTGAGAGTAGGTAAGTGACACTGTTTACATGGTGTTTTGGATAATGAGAAACTGTAATGTACTAAGTTAGTCATTATTTGTTTTTTAACTTATTTTGGCACTTGTTATTTTATATTTTAAATAAAAAATATTTCCAGAATTTTTTTTAAATTTTTTATGAGTTTTGAATAGGATTTTGGGTTGTGTGTTTAGATGAGTTTTAAGTTTTTAAATTAATTTTTGGGGTGTCCTAAATAAGTGTACTTTTTGTCTTTTTAGACTAAAAAAATTGAGAAAAAAATATGAATGTTTGGGATAACTTTTTGACTTTTTATGATAATCCCAGATATGTGTGTACATAAAACGCAGATTCATAGGCCCTTGCTTTAAACATGTGAATCCAAACTTACTTTCATTCAGGATGCACGGCTATAGGTTAATCTTGTCCAATTGTAGTTTCAATAAGATTTCTAGTTCTATCACCACTGATACCATCACCATCACACTACCACTTCCACTAGAATGCCATCAAGACTACTTTCAGACCACCACAATGCTAGGCAGACACAATAACTGTTTTTCTTCAGCTGGTTGTTTGAAAAACTGATATTTTGTAAAAAAACAAAAAAAAAATTTAAAAATTTTTAAAAAAAATTTTTCCCGACTAAAAAAAAAAATTTCAAAAAAAAAAAAAAAAAAAAAAAAATCTGGAACCAGCCGGACATCCGGGTGGTCATCCGGGTGGTCTACCGGGTGGTCATCCGGGTGGACAAAAAAGGTGCCTGTGCATCAGAGTTTCTCTCTGCAGAGGTAGAGAAACCAAACATCATACTCCAAACCACGGGTAGAAAATTGATTTTAGAGCACAACCAAACAGAGCCTAATGTTTTGGAAGCCTTTTTCTTTCTTTCTTTCTATTTTATGAGGACTTTCAATCACTTCGGTACTTGAAGGATCATATTGATTAAAGAATTCGACTATATTTTCAAAATTAGATTAATCCACATTATATCCCAGGTATTAGGTAAGTTAGTCATTATTTGTTTTTCAACCACCAAATAAAAGTGAGCTAACATGTCCATCTATAAAAAAATTTCATTATATAATTGGTTTAGAGTATCATGTAGGTAAAATAGTGTTCTAGAACTACTCAATAAATACCTTGAAAAGAGATGGGGAAAAGAAAGTTGAGAGTGGAATAGAGGAAAAGTGACTTTGTTTACATTAGATGGTATTTTGTTTAATGAGAAACTATAACATACTAAGGCCTCGTTTGGGAACAGGCTAATTTAGCCTCTGTTTGGGATTGGCTTTTTTGGGCTTTTTTGGCTAAAATAGCCACAAAAAACAAAATAGGCTATTTTAGCCACAAAAAACAAAACATCAAATCCAACCCATAATCATTACAATCCTCTCTCACAAAAAAAGCCAAAAAAGCCAAAAAGCCAAAAAGCCCTTCCCAAACCAGGCTAAAATAGCCCAGGCTAAAATAGCCAAAAAGCCAAAAAGCCAACCCACTTCCCAAACGGAGGTAAAAAAAACGTAGGTGAAAACGTAGGTAAAAAAAACTTGTATGTTTGGGATGACTTTTTGGCTAATTACGAAAAGATGTGCAAAAAGTAGAGAGAAAAGAGAATCTTTGACTTTTTGGTATGGGTTGTTGACTTTTTGACTAATTTAGTAACTTTTTGGCTAATTGACTAAAATAGCCTCTTGCCAAACGAGGCCTAAGTTCGTTATAATTTATTTTTCAACTACCATATAAAAGTATGTCTATTAACCAATTTTTTCTACTGATTGGTTTGGAATATTATATAAATAATATGATATTTTAAAACTACTCAATGATTATCTTGAAAACAGATGAGAAAAAGGAAGTTGATGAGTAATTCTTTTCGCTTGCACACTACAAATATTATCGGGAAAATTGCAAAAAAAATCTCAAGGTTTGATCATTGTAATAAAATAATTTTTTAATTTTTAATTTTTAATTTTGTCAATTTATACAAATTTTTCGTCAATTTTAATTAACGGAAATAAGCAAATGGTTCAGTTGAAAACAAATAAAAAATTTAAAGTTTAAATTGATAAAATTAAAAATTAAAAATTATTTTGTTACCATGATCAAACTTGAAATTTAATGTGTAATGTGCAAATAAAAGGCTGTAGAGTTGGTAATTTCTTAGACCCAAATTTGAATATAATTTTATGGGGCACTGACTTGTAGGTCCTTTTTGCACAGTTCAAAACTCATTTAGTGTCAAAACAAAATACTTGCACCAATTAATCCTACATATTTTTAATTATTACAAAAAAAAATTTAAAAGGACGCTGCACATGTCACCCCACCGGAGGCTCACTAGAATGTTCAACATCACCATAAATTCGTCGAAATGTTCAGAACGTCGCTGGAAAAAAAAAAAAAAAAAGAAGAAGAAGAAGAAAAAAGGGAGAAATTAAAGCGAAAACATAATAAAATTTAACCACATCTTTCTCAACACTAAAAAACACAAAAAAATTATCTACCATATGGAGCACATAATTTTCAGTTTACAAAATTATAAAAATTTAGAGTTTGAATTTATTTCTCATCAAACTGCATAAATTTAAAGTTTTAAAACTGCAAAAATTATCAGTTTGCTCATTTGCAATATATTAAAACACAATTTCACATCGCGGCGATGGTGGAGATCACATATCAGTAGTTTCTAAGGGTTTGTAACTTTTCTGTTTGTCAATATTTTCTAAATTTTTGTTGTTGTTTTAATTAAGTAAACAAAAAAAGAGGGCTAAAAATCATATAGAAAAGCATAAATATATTTTCAAAACTGTAAATTTTTTCAGTTTTCATAACTAAAACTCAAAAAATATTCATCCAGAATTTGAAAATTTTCTCCATTAAAATAATAAAAGAGAAGTGTGTAGTAAAAAAAAAAAAAAACAACAACAACAACAACTGAGAGATTGAAAGAGAGACAAAAATAGAGGATTATGTTATGGCAATGTTTTTGGTTTGGATCTGGCCAGATGTGATGTAGATTTACTCAAATTACTTTACATTCAAATATTCTGTAAGTCTCGTCTTGTAATCTTGACCAAATTTAAGTAGATCTAAGTCAAGAATATTATTAGAAACTCGTCTCCTTCGTTGTCAATGAGAGCAAAGCAAGGAGTTGGTGGTTATCGGTGAATCCAATCGATAGTGGTCGCCGACGAATGTATATCAAAAAGAGAAAGAGGAAGAATAAAAAAAAAAAAAAAGAATCTTCAAATTTTGGGTCTACAAGAAATAAAAAATTATAAGACTAAATAGAGTACGATTCCTGACTTATGGGTAATTAATCCTAATTTTATTGGCAGAGCCGAACCGACCCAATTGCCGTGAATTTGGTTGATTTGTTTTTCCGGATTTTCGGGTCTCCAGGACACCCTGACCCAACTTCCTCAGCTTATCCTATGCAACTGCCTGAAAACTAAAAGGCTACAATTTTGAAGAGAGAGAGAGCGAGAGAGTTTCCAATTGATCATCATCCTGTAAAAGGTGACCCAACTTTCAACAGAGAACGCTGCTCATCTTCAACAAGGCATCGGTTTGCTTCTCTCAGCTTGGACTGCCCTTCAGATGGCCTTTGAGAACTGTTGTGGTGGCCCTGACTCTCTCTCCTCAAAAATCCCAACAAGTCGCCTCCGATATTTTCTCTTGCCTCAACCAATCCAAAGGTATTTTTTTGATTGTTTCAGCCAAAATGTTTGATGGGTTTTCCTTTTCTTTTTCTTTTTAATTCAATGCGTTACAAGTACCCCTCAAAAGCTAGTCATAGTAATTCAATTGACTCTTTGGCTTTGTCCCATTGGCATTTTTGGGTATCAGTTTTCATTATTTTTTCAATGTTGGTTGGTGGTAATCATTCTTAAGAACAAAATTGAGGTTTTGTTCAGAGGATTGACAACCCATAGAGCACATGATTGATTGGTGTTGCATGTACAAGGGGCAGGAGAGTTGGTGAATTATCTCCTTATCCAGGTTGCTAGGGAAATCTGAATGTTGCTTTTATTTAGCTATGTTTGGAGTTGTTGGCTTTTTCATGCAGCTCCTGACAATGAGTGGTGTCATCACTCAATTTTCAAATTTTCTTAAAACCAAGGTAAAAATTTATCAAAAATATTTGAGATTTTACAAATTGAACCCAGTGAAATTAGAGAAACAAAATAATTGTTATTCTTATTCTATTGCATTATCAATATGCTCCAAAATTTGTTATTATTTTATAAAATTACACAATGCACATTAGAATACAAATTTTGATTTTTTATTTATTTATATTATTTATTTTAAATGTGTGGTGAAAATAACAAGTACAGTTGTGATTGATTCCACCATTAACAACTACAACTGTGAAAAGATCTTTAGTTGTGATGCAATTTAAATCAAATATGTAACTGAATGAGTGATGGGTTTTTTTTTTTTTCTGATTCAGAGTGATGGTTGAATGAATGACTATTTGACCATATAGATTGAAAAAATGTGTTTGATAGCATAGGTAATAAGGTTATCATATAATGATTTCAAAAAATAAAACTCCTTGTGAACAATTGTACAAGTGTAGATCCTTAATTTTTGTTGAAGCAATAGTATTAATGTCCCAACTTGTAGTTTAATATGTAATTTGACAAATTTAAATTACTTTTGTTGATGTGATTAAAAATATATAAAATTACAATGGATTATATGAAAATTGATTTTGATATAGATTGTGTAGAACTTGAATTCAACATAATGATATTGATGATACTTGTTAAATATGACCCTGGTGAACTAAGATTCTGGCTACGCCACTTGTTGCAGGTCGAGTGGTCTTAAGTATGCTAGTGTAATTGTTCCTGTTTCCTCCTTCATTATTTTTGTTTATTGGTCATAAAAATAATAATACAAGAAATTGTAGTTCAAAAGGGTCAAAGATCAAAATTTCTGTCATCCAGATTTTTTACAGTATTGAACTCAATGTACTCCAAGTATGTATTGGCTTAACCTTTTATAGATGATAATGATATAATTGCTGAAGAAGAGGTTAAGCTGTGTATACATTAATGAACAAAGGCAAATTATATTTTCCACATTCATTCTATTATGATGATAACAAGTAGTAATGGCCTCACATATTTGTTAGCCAATTGATTTCAACTCTCCCCCCCCAAACATATTTCTTGCTCATTTATATCTTTCCTTCCCAATTTGTATCCTTTGCAAATTATATGCATTTGTTTTCAGTTTTCTGACCTTTGCTAATTGGTTGTTTGGCAGAGTTCTTTCTAAACAACTTTATGCAGATAGCAGAGAAATGAATGATTATGCATGAAGAGTGTTTTGGAAGGTAACTATAAGTCAATTCAAATACTAAAGGAAATGAATCCTCTGAGAGGTGCTGTTCCTCATATCTGACAGGTAATTATAGTGTTTCCCTCACTGAAAATGTTTTATACCCGATAAATGAGTATAATTCACTATTTCTGCTGAGCTGTTTTTCATGTTTGTTCTGTTTATGGGGTATTTGGATAAGGGAATGATGAAATATTTCCAAATGAAATAAACATAGAGGAACAATTATCACAGATTGGCATCATTTGATAGTACCTTTTAGTAGCTAAGAAGCATGGGCATGGACGCTACACGGACATGCTAATATGAAAATTTTCAAAAAATGTAGACACGGCATGTGAGGGACACATACAAACTATATAAATTAGATATATTTTTTGTATGTCATATATAAGGATAATAAATAATGAATGAATAAAGGAAAAGAAGGTAGGATAAAAGATTTCAGTCAAATGTCATTATGTACCCTATCATACTCAAAAACGTTTTGCACTACAGTATATAGCAACATATATTATGTAGTACTTGCTTGCATGAAGAAATTCAACAATACCACAAACTAAAAAAATATCAGAAAATTATCCGAACAATTACATCTATGGATATCACAATCATTTTAGGTGTGACCCACATTCCACCCACTTTAAATCTACACCACACAACTCGTTTCGGGGTAACTTTTCATGGTTCCTAGCATTTCTAGTAGAAATTAGTTATGTTTCATGTAACAACATGAATCATGTTAAATGCAAAAAGTCGGTAAAAACTTTTTGCTAAGCTTGGTGGTGAAAAGACTCTTCTGCAGTATAGGAGAATCATTTCTCTGTAATACCTTATTTTAAGGAAGAAACACCAATTTAAGAATTTGTAGTGGCTACAAGCCTAGATTTATGTCATCTTCTTATAATATTATTACCAATCACCATGATGGAAATTCTAGTTGAAATTTGCTCAACATCCTTGTTGGATGGAAGATATCACTATTGTTGTATATTATACTTCGTTTGTGCTTTTATATTTTTTCGTTTGCTTCCTCATTATGCACCATGCTGTCAGTGATGGGCAACGATGATGATAGCATAGGGGACAATGATTCAGAAGTCGGCGCTTTAGAGTACCAATTGAATGTAGAAGATGGAAGGACAGTAGTTGCCTCTAGGCAGAGCAAAGGTAGAAGGAACTAGGTTGAACCCTCAAGATTTATGATCCCTGTTTATTTTTGCTTTTTAATTTCCTCTTTTTTATCCTATACTTTTTGCCCCTTTATTTGTGTCAATATGTCATTTTTATAGAGTTATTAGTGTGGCAAATTTTGTTCCTTGCTTTTGATGCCATGCCAAGGAAGTTGTGCTTGTGGTGTAACTGGAGAGTGGAGACTGGTTTCCTCTCATATATAGGTTCTAAAGCATCATACATGAAAAAGTTTGCTTTCTATATATATGCTTTCTACTCGATGTCCATTCATCGTATTTGGCTTGAATATGTATATATATATATGTATATAGTTGAGAGTGTTGGAGCAGTTAATGTCTGGAGTCCTTGGAGTTCCTCAGTTGACCCCTTAAGGCTGCGTTTAGATCTTAAATTTGTGGAGAACAAAGAAACAGAGGGGAAATTGAATGAAATAGAAACAAAATTGTTTACAGAAATATTGGGAAAATATTGGGGTGTAGGTGTAACTATCAATATTAAAAATTAATATATATATATATATATTTATGGAATTTAACTATTGTTTAGAGAGGGGCCTACATGATTTTCACACAAATTCCATGAGTCCAAAAGCTTAAGAGTAGCACTCCAAGCTTCACTTCCCTATATTTTCTACACTCCGAAAGGAAGTGACCCTCAATTTTGGGTTCACTTCTTTTGACCTCTGATGCAATTCTTGAATGCCTCCCTTGTCTGATGCTCATCCCCCAAGTGTTCTTAAATCTTTACTTGAAAACTTCTACTTGTTATAACCCTTATTATTATTAGTTTAATTAAATATAACAATTATTGAGTATATAATATACACATAGAAACTCATATCAATACCCATTCCCACCATCAACCCTACTCATCTCTAACCAAGAACTCAACAACAGAATTCCAAAACCCTATTTTCCCTCTCCCTACCCACATACACACTGCTTTCTCTCACCAAAATGGTCACCTTCTTTCTACTAGCATTGTTATTTATCCTCCTCCTCCTCCTCAATCCATTTCCGGCCATGTTATGGGGTATTTGGATAAGGGAATGATGAAATATTTCCAAATGAAATAAACATAAGGGAACAATTATCATAGATTGGCATCATTTGATAGTACCTTTTAGTAGCTAAGAAGCATGGGCATGGACGCTACACGGACATGCTAATATGAAAATTTTCAAAAAATGTAGACACGGCATGTGAGGGACACATACAAACTATATAAATTAGATATATTTTTTGTATGTCATATATAAGGATAATAAATAATGAATGAATAAAGGAAAAGAAGGTAGGATAAAAGATTTCAGTCAAATGTCATTATGTACCCTATCATACTCAAAAACGTTTTGCACTACAATATATAGCAACATATATTATGTAGTACTTGCTTGCATGAAGAAATTCAACAATACCACAAACTAAAAAAATATCAGAAAATTATCCGAACAATTACATCTATGGATATCACAATCATTTTAGGTGTGACCCACATTCCACCCACTTTAAATCTACACCACACAACTCGTTTCGGGGTAACTTTTCATGGTTCCTAGCATTTCTAGTAGAAATTAGTTATGTTTCATGTAACAACATGAATCATGTTAAATGCAAAAAGTCGGTAAAAACTTTTTGCTAAGCTTGGTGGTGAAAAGACTCTTTTGCAGTATGAGAGAATTATTTCTCTGTAATACCTTATTTTAAGGAAGAAACACCAATTTAAGAATTTGTAGTGGCTACAAGCCTAGATTTATGTCATCTTCTTATAATATTATTACCAATCACCATGATGAAAATTCTAGTTGAAATTTGCTCAACATGCTTGTTGGATGGAAGATATCACTATTGTTGTATATTATACTTCGTTTGTGCTTTTATATTTTTTCGTTTGCTTCCTCATTATGCACCATGCTGTCAGTGATGGGCAACGATGATGATAGCATAGGGGACAATGATTCAGAAGTCGGCGCTTTAGAGTACCAATTGAATGTAGAAGATGGAAGGACAGTAGTTGCCTCTAGGCAGAGCAGAGGTAGAAGGAACTAGGTTGAACCCTCAAGATTTACGATCCCTGTTTATTTTTACTTTTTAATTTCCTCTTTTTTATCCTATACTTTTTGCCCCTTTATTTGTGTCAATATGTCATTTTTATAGAGTTATTAGTGTGGCAAATTTTGTTCCTTGCTTTTGATGCCATGCCAAGGAAGTTGTGCTTGTGGTGTAACTGGAGAGTGGAGACTGGTTTCCTCTCATATATAGGTTCTAAAGCATCATACATGAAAAAGTTTGCTTTCTATATATATGCTTTCTACTCAATGTCCATTCATCGTATTTGGCTTGAATATATATATGTGTGTGTGTATAGTTGAGAGTGTTGGAGCAGTTAATGTCTAGAGTCCTTGGAGTTCCTCAGTTGACCCCTTAAGGCTGTGTTTAGATCTTAAATTTGTGGAGAACAAAGAAACAGAGGGGAAATTGAATGAAATAGAAACAAAATTGTTTACAGAAATATTGGGAAAATATTGGGGTGTAGGTGTAACTATCAATATTAAAAATTAATATATATATATATATAT